CGGGACTCTGCGTGCTTCTAGGCCCTCGCGAGCCCGCTGTGGCACACTTTTCCGTGCAGGAACTGCAGTCCGTGCCCTGACCGGGCATTCATTCGACGGGGCTTTGCGGGCGCTGCCCAGAGAGGACGAAAGCACCCCTAGTCCCCGCGGGGCTCGCTGTCAGGCCTCCTGTTCATCTGAGCAACTTTACTTCTACAAAAGGCCTAGGATAGTTCTCCATGCAACCTAATCTGTGCAAATTCCTTACCTGCAGGGCAGATTTAGGAACTCGGCTGCGGTGTTTCTGATGCAACACTTACACCTTAAAGAGTAATGGAAAGGACGGATAGCCAGGCTGGCTGAGGATTGCAGCGACTTCGAGGCCAGCCTGAGCTACATAGTGAGACCCTGTCTCAAAAAAAAAAAAAAAGCAACACCTGCTCAGTAGTAGCATTTATTGTCATAATAATGTACCTCTGTTTTCTTCCAAAGTGTGACGTGTTTTTGAGTCAGTACCCAGAACAGCCTGAAACGTGCATCACGTGGTTGTTAAAAAGGCGATGGCTGCTGACCAGCAAAGTGTCAAAGTCAGGAGGAGGAGGGATGGCTGCTGGGGGCTGAATAGTCTCCAAATTCCTATAACCACTAGCACCTGTGAGTGCCGCCTTATTTGGAAAGGAGAGCGTTAAGGTTGGCTCGAATCCAATGTGATGTCCTTAGGTAAAGGGGAAATTTGGACAGGGCGCCAGACCTGTTCACAAGGAGAAAGCCACGTGAAGATCCAAGCCACCCTGGGCTCCAAGCCAAGGAACTGCAGGCTTGAGAGAGGCCTGGAAGGAATCCTTCCTGGAGCCCCGAGGGAGCCAGTCTGCAGACGTCATGAGGGCTTCTGGCCTCCAGAGCCCTGAGACGATAGATTCCTGTTCTTCTGTGCCACCCCACTTGGTGCATTTTGTAGGGCAGCCCTAGCAAATTAATAACGAGTAAACTAGGGAGCTGATGATGGTCTCTTCTACCTCTGCTTCTGCTGCCATGGGAAACACATGTCATACTCGGTTTCTGTTAAAACATTTAAAACTTCACATGCGAGGACCCTTTGTTGACCCTGAGGTGCTGAATAGACGCTGTCTCTTTTCGCTGTAGATGGTAAACTGGGCCCTCACCATCTGACCCGCACAGAAGACGTTAACAGCCAGGCCACGCCCATGCGGGGATTGCCTCAGCCGCCAGCCCTGTGGTTGTGATTTCAAAACTACAATGTTTATGTTTTATTCTAAACAGTTTGAACGTAAGCAGATTGTGTCTAAGGACAGGCGGGCTGTTCGTAAGCATCCACATGAAATGATGGGAGGTGGAGAGAACACTGGTCTGTGTAGAGTTGGTTACGTTTGCGGATCGTTTGTTCAACAGAGATGGAGTTTTTAAACTGACATCTGTGTAGGAGCGTTTGTGTAAATTTCATGTAAGCATAAAAGTACTAATTTATTGTGTCACTTCCATCAGGTATGTATTCCTCAACCGCCCGTGACATATAGGTGGTTACTTTAATACATCTGGGGGTTTTTTTGGTTTTTTTTTTAGGTTAGGATTGCCGCTTAGTAATGGCTGCAGCACATTAAGCATTTATTGTGTGTTAGGCTCTTTATAGCATGAATCGTTGTGATTTCTTAAGGGGCAGTTTGTTATTTCATAATCTGTGCTCACTTCACCGATGAAGAAAGTAAAACTAAGGACTACAAATAGGTAGTAAAGCCAGATGAAAATTGAAACTATTTCTTCTGTCTCTTTTTTTTTTTTTGGTATGGGGAATTCAAACTTGGGACCTGGCACTTGCAAAGCAGGTAGCACCACTGGGCTAAATCGCCAGCCCTTGAAACCCCATCACTAACACTCCCATTCTTTTCCTTTTGTTTTTTTTTTGAGACAGGGCCTCACTATGTAGTTGAGACTGACCTGGAACTCACTGTGTAGCCCAGGCTGGTCTTGAACTCACAGCGATCCTCCTGCCTTAGCCTCCCAAGCACTGGGATTACAGGCTGCACCACCATGCCCGGCTTCCCATTGTCAAGAATCACCTGGGAACTTCTGCTTGGCTGTGATGTCATGGAGCTGAGAGGAGGGAACTGGTTTATATCTCAGCTGGCCATTACTAGCTGCCCGTCATCATGGATTCATTCCAATGTGTCCCCAGCAGGCTCCTGCACTCAGAGGTGGAGTATGTGGAAGGGCCTGGGTCATGGGGATGCTGTACTCATTGATGGATGAATTCACCGAATTAGTCACTTTCCCATCCTGGGACAGGACACCCCACTCACAGGCAGAAGGGTTTATTTGGTTCAGTTTTTGGAGGACTCAGTCCATGACTGGTGATTCCAAGGCAGAATGGCATGGTAGAAGGGCCTGGCAGAGGAGAGCTGCGCCTGGCAGCGAGGAAGCTGAGAAAGAAAGGAGGAGCCAAGCACAAGAATACCCCTTTCCGGGTCACTCCCATGACCCACCTCCAACCAGGACCCACCAGCTAGCGACGAGGCAGCTGTAGCAGCCCATGATCCAGTCACCCTCCAAACACACGAGTCATTCGGGGGACATAGTACATCCAAACCGCAGTGTCCCTTGACGAGTTCACAGCTGAATGTGGTCAAGAGGTGGGGCTCAGTAGGAGGTGGATTGCTGGGACGTGACCTGGAAGGGTGCATTCTTGTCCCTGCTCCTCCCTTCTCTCTGCTTCCTGGCTGAAGGGGATAGCAGCTTTCTTCTGCCATGCCCTCTGCCTTACCATGTCTGTCTTAGAGGCAATAAACCATGGACTGAATCCTCTGCAAACCATGAGCCAATTAAACCTCTCCTCCTTTAAATTGTGGTGCTGGGTGTTGTGTCCAGCAATGGAGCCATAACTAATACAGCCTGGGTGTGGTTTCTCCTCCAAGGGTCTGTGTGTTGGAGGTGTGACCCTTGATGTGGTGACCCAAGAGGCCATGGGACCTTGGGAGGGGAGCTCTCATGGAAGTTCTTAGGTCACTCCTGAGGTGCTGCCCCACAAGGGACTTCAGGACTTCAGTCCACCTCTGGCTTCCTTCCTGTGCACCCATCACACATGAGATGCATTTCAAACCTCTCTTCTTCATAAGTTTATCTAGCTTCAAATATTTTGTTACAGTAATGAAAAACAGACAAATACAATGATCTTGACCAAGTTTTCTTGGCATAATTCATCTGTAAGATGAAGGGATTAAACTAGATCATTTCTAAATTTTCTGTGATATTTAGAAATTCTCAGAACACAGCTCAAAACAGTTCTCAGAACTGTGCTCAACATCTAAGGAATTAGAATCCTGTTAAAACATTCTTTTCACTGCCACCCATGTTAGAAAAGTCAATATTACTTTTATTCAATTGGCACCCATGATAAAAGTATGTCAGCCTCTCCGGATCCTGTCTTACAGAGGTGATTTTTGACACATGTTATCAACACACAGATCATGAAAAGATGACCAGTTTGCTTATTCAGTCTTGATATGAATGTTGACTGAGTATCCCCCCAAACTGGAATCTTTAGGGAGACTGAATTTAAATGCATGAAGGAAAATTACTTTTTAAGATAAGCTGTGGCTCTTGTGTGACTGTAAAATGGACACATGTTGAAGATTTCACCGAGCCCATGAGAGCCCTGAGAGCAGTTGTGTGTGCAGGCCATGCTACTCTGGTCTGTCCCCCAGAAGACTCATGTTGAAATTTGGTTCCCAAAGTAACAGTGCTGAGAGGTTCTGGGGCCTTTGAGGGGTAATACGTGACGAGGGCTGTGTACTCAGGAGGGGCTGGATGCAGTTCCCTGAGAGTGGGTGGTTGACTCAGGAGTGGGTTGTTGCTCTTCTCTCTCCACATGTGTCCATGCATGCAGTTCTCACGCGCACCCCACTATGTAAAGCCTTCTGTGAGCTATCACCCGCATGACACCCCCATCAGATGTGGCTGCCTGATCTTGAACTTTCCTGCTCTGGAACCGTGAGCTGAAATCCTCTTTTCTTTATAAATTACCTGTACTCAGGTATTCCATTATAGTAATGGGAAGCAGACTAATAACAGCCATCAAGAAGGTTAAAATCAATCTGCTTAATATACGCAGAGCTGGCTTCTTCCATAGAAGAGTGAAGGAAGGGAAATCAGTTGCAGTTTCACAGGACAAAATTCATTTGCATTGCTATCAGGGTCATCTGCAATTTAGAGCTGTAAAATAGCTCAAAGACAGTGACCAGCAGAAAATAACCTGAAGAACAGACTGCGTCAGAGACACAGTTTCTCCCCACTTTTATTTTGTCTGTTTTGAAAACAGTCATGATTTTGGCCACTACCTCAAAGAGGTCTTCCATTTCTGAGGAAAGAGTCCGCTTTTCTCTACCAAAGTTCCCCAGTTCATTTCACTACACCGCTCGTTAACGTCTACGTCCTTTTTGTTGTTTACTTGATAACTGCAGTCATTTTCACCCCAGATGTGAGGACTGGAAGGGCAGAGATCTTTGTCTGTCTCGTTCGTCATTATATTACACCACCTGCCACAGTGCCGCATTCTCTAAAGACTGTGGAGACACCCGACTTGCTGCATCTAACAGGGCACTTCATTCGCCCATCAGTTATCCATCTGTTGCCTCTCAGCTCTGGCTTCCCCCTCTTCCCGTGTTAGTGGAACAGCATTTCTCCTCTGCCAGGGGCATGGTGTTAAAAGTGGTCAGTAGAGGGCATCGGAGGGAAACTGTGGGTGCAGAGGGCTGCTCTTTCTAGTTCTGGCATGCCTCTGCTGGGTCCTACTCCACAGCCAGGGCGGGACATATAAGGGACTGGACAGCATGGAGTTTCTGTGGCATCCCTGCGGGCACTTCCCAGTGGGTCTTTGGGCAGCATGACCCTTGGTTACCTGGCCTTAGCCCACTTCATTCTGGGAAGGATTCCTCTGGCCATTCCCAGCCATGGCTTTCTGCTGGCCAGGTATGGCCTTGTGACCAGAGGACAGCTCTGGTCCAAGGCGACACAGCTGCCTTCCTCCTTCTGAGGGCCTGTGGGGCACATCTCTTCCCGTGAGTCTAAGTCCTGCCCTGAGAGGAGATCCCTGGCACCGCTCCCCTTCCACGTGTGTCCTTCCTTAGAAGGGCTCCCTCCGTCTTGATGTTTTCTGTGGAGTTCCTCTTGTTCCTTCTTAATCACCTGCTAGAATTCATATTTTCAGCAACACTGGGACTTGAACTCGGAGCCTTCTGCTGAACTACTACCCCACTCTTTTTTTTATTTTTATTAGTTTTTAATTGATTTTTTAAAAATTCAGGGTCTCACTAAGACTTTCAATTGCCTAGGCTGGGCTCAAACTTGCAATCCTCCTGCCTCAGCCTCCCTCAGGGCTGGCACGCACCAGCACATAATTACCACATAATTCTTTTTATTAACTGTTCCACAGTTGATTTTATGAGTAACTTCTGTCTCCTGTTGAGAGACTGATGCAATCCATAGCCGACCCAGGCCATGACGATGTACTTCTGGGCAATTTTCTTGCTTGTTGTTTTCCTCGGGTGAGTATATTTAGAAAATGTAAATAGTTACAAATGTGGTAATACAGTATTGTGAAATGTTAGCCAATGTTTTTCCCCTGTGGGCCTTTTTTTGTCCTGTGATCATCCTTGTGCAGGTCACTAGATGTGAGTCTCATTACCTCAGGGGGCGCAGAGGAAGGACAGAAGCAGTCCCACAACTTCCTTCCAAATTCCAGGGCCTCGGTCTTGACATAAATCTGGAAAGAGCTGCCGCCTCCCACACCTTCTGCCAGCAGCACCCCACCCCAGCCTCTGCACGGGGCTGCGCTGAGTCCAAAGGAGAGATTTGGAGAGTGTTCTCCAAAGTAAGAAGCCGGTGACTCCTCTCCCTCATCGAGGGGCCGCTCAGACACCGAGGTAAGCGTCAATGGAACCGAGGATACAACAGGCCGGGCCAACCCGTCCGGAACCAGGAGGCAGTGTCACAGGCAACGCCTGCCACTTTGCCCCTTTGTGGCCCAGCACAAAAGCCCAGTGGCTGCTCCTGGGCAGAGGGCCGGGAAGCCCCCGTGTGTTAGAAGAACGGCTCCATTTTTCTAGTCCTTCCTTCGGAGAAGGCCGTGAGAGCTGGACAGGCAACCCCGCAAAGGCAGCAGCATGACACAGTGTCACAGGTTGTGACAGGGTCCAGAGGGGACCCAGGCCTCTGGGGAAATGGTGGCCCCTGAGGACCAGGCAGGGCCATAGAGCACTTGGACGTGTAAACAGCTGTTCCTCTGCATCTCACACTCAGCTGCTACCCTGCAGAGCCCAGGAAAAGAGCTGTTTTCAGAATTCATTGAATCTAAACCTGAGATGATAAGAAAAGGTCCTGAAGCACCAGAGAAGACCTGAAAGTGACCTGCTTTCAACCAGTGAGAAGCCTGGACCTGATGATAGAAACCAAAGTTAGGTGTAGAAAAATGACAGCAGCTCCTTTTGGACTCTGATCTGTGAACTGAATAATTCTGTGCTTGTTGCAAAGTCCAGCCAAGGATTATGAAAGCCTCAAAGACCTTACACAGGCGCCCGGGCCCTGCGATCGGGCTGGCCTCCCTGCCCTCCCACACCTGCCCACTCTCTGCCGTCAGCTCGTCCCACCCCTGCTTACACCTCACTGTCCCCCACGCAAACCAGGAGTGCCCCTGCCTCAGCCACCTTGCATGGCCACTGCAGGGGCTTTCCCAAGACGTGCTCGGACTCCTCCCACCTTGCTTCTGGCGTCTGCCCAGGAACACTTGCCTGCTCCATTCTTTAGCCCTTCCCCACCTTGATTAGTGCCTGACATCATGGCATACATTTATTTGGTCACTTGTGTCTCCTCGCCGGGATCCGCCCCTCAGTACTTATTGAGTAATTCAGTGAATACCCAGAATGCTCTTAATAACGTCCCAGGTCATTTGAATCCTTAATATGTGACAGACACACAACTATTAACATGTTTTGCTAACGTGTGCCTCACACGTGTTGTTTTAATTTTCACAGCAGCTATGAGAACTATAACTTAAGATTCCCATGTTATATATGAAAAAACCAGTGCTTTGAGTAGCAGAGTTCCCATAGCTTCTCAGAGTAGGAGAGGCAGGACAGCTCAGCTTGATTGTCCCCACACCCTGGGCTTTGGAGACCGTTAGAGCTGTAGGCTGGGGGTGGCCAGTGCACAGGTGAAAGCGGGAGCATCCAGGTCCCAACAGCCGAGGAGGCTTTTCAGAGTTGTATTTACCTTAGATGAAGGGGGAAACTTTTAAAGGAGCAAAGGGAAGGATTCTAAAGGAAAAGAGGGTTATGGAACACATCAGTGTTCACACATGTATGAAAATGTCCCGGGTGAGTGGAAGACCGGGTGACCGGTGACAGAAGCCAGGGGTGCGGGCCATTTGTTACAGGGGTGACATCGGCACTGCCTGTCAGCAGCAAGATGGGAAGGGGCGGAGCGAAAGCAGGGAGGGCTCCGAGGGGGCACCGCTATCGCCAGAGAGGCTGAAGTGCTGGGGTCTCAGCTCTTGGGCCTAGGCATAAACCAGCCACTCTGGGCAGGGGTGTCGGATGGGAGCCCCTGGAGAGGGCCAGCTGGAGAGGCAGGTTCAGCAGGAGCTTCCTGCGCAGGCCAAAGCCACAAAAGATCGGGTAGGAGCTCCTTAAAGAAAACACGCCTAACCAGCAGGTGTCATGAGCTCAGGGCAGAGGAGGAAAGAATGACTCTTCTTTCCTCAAAGCCAGATGTTTAAGTAAGAATGGTTGGTGGGCAAAACCAAGAAGCAACTGAGAGAAGGCAACATATATAACACTGTGGGAACAGATGCTGCCCAATCCACCACTTCTGGCCCTGTAACCTCTGAAGAATCCCAGCAGTGGAGTTGCCCGTTGACTCTTCTGCCACCTGGAGGCCGGTGAAAGAAGTACAAGAGATCCTGCACGAATCCTTGCAGTTTCAGAAAATCTCCCTTCTAAAAAGATGAAACTAAAACGAAGTTTACAAAAAAAAAGTTGGAACAAACTACTTAAAATGCATGCAACTCTATAACCACACATTAACAAAAGTAATCCTACTAAACTAATAGCTCTTTTAAAAAGACAAGTTTAGTTCCCACTAAACAGAAAGGAAATTAAACGTGAGGATTTACTTTTAAAAAGCAGTGCTAGGTTGATACAAATGTCATGGCCACTCAACACAGTACTGTACTCTTCTGTAGCTTTCTATGTTCAGCTGCTGTGATTAGTGGAACAAATAGGAACAAAGTGTGGAACAGAACATTAATGTATTGTGCAACATGTGTAGGAATCATTGCAGCTTTTGACTTTCATTGATGTCAATCCAATTAGCCAATCATGGATAAGCCACTTTGCATATCAGAAATTGTACTGACCAATCCTAGGTAAGCTAACGTGTATGTCAGGACCACCTGTCACAGTCTCAGCAGAGCCTGTAAGTCATCTTCATGGCCAGCACTCAAGGGGATCCCCACCTGCACCCTCCTGTTTTCTCCAGGCTTTGCGACATAATTCCACCTCAGGCAACTCTTTACCATTCTTATGTAGTTGATATGAATCTCAGGCCACAAAGCCAAACCTGCAGGAAAATTATTTTCCATGAGTCAACTTCCTCATCCATGCCTGTATTCTGCCAGGTTGGCAAGAAACTGAGCTCTGCTGTCCTGGGGCTTCCCTCCTCTTCCTGGGACCTGCTTGAAGGTGATGTGGCCTCGTGCAGTACCTACTTTTGGGCCCCTCCATGTGAACCTATTGGCCTCTGCAGAGATGGCCGTTGTGTCCGCCACACAGTCTTTGTGGAGCTGTGTGAGAGCCGCTGCTTTTGTATCCAGACAACACCCAACCACTGTTTGCCTTCCCCTGTTTCCTCTGCTCCGAATTCCCCCAATCCTGGCCATGTTGCCACCTCCCAAGGCCCCCGCTCTGCCTCTCTGGGGACCGCCATCTCCTTGGGGCGATGTCACCAAGAAGTGTAGGGACCCAGTTCCTCCACTGTTGCTGGGGACAA